CTGTCATACAGGCTACATAAAAATTGATTTGGAGGAAATTTTCCCTTGGCTTTAATTTTGCCCTGATCCGATAGCAGAAAGAGGTTTAGAAATGGACTATCCAGGACTAAGGAGGAACTTTACAGTGGAGAGACCCAGCAGACAGCGCCTTAATCACGTGATCAAGACTCACAGCACCAACAATGGGACAAATCGATGTCTTTGGGCTCCCGACATGATGCACTGAGAATCCATAGTGTCTCTCCTGTGACAGTGCTGCCCCCAAATGCAAAACCTGGCTGTCATTACGAGGAAGCATGGAGCCAACCCAAACCGTGGGACAGCCCCCCAAATAGCCGGACATGAAAGTCACTCAAGACGGCTGTGCTGCCAGGGGTTGAGCAGATCCAAGGACACTAAGGAGACCCCACCAGTAAACACGACGTCTGTTCCTGCACAGATCCTTTTCCTATAAAGGAGCCAAGCCAAACCAGACCAGACCAAACCAAAGGGAAACCACTGGCCAGCCTGAACGGGGCTGGAGGTTTTGGTGGTGGTAACAAGTCAACATTAACGTCCTAATATTGATGCCTGTGCTGTGGTTTTGTGGGAGAATATCTTTGCCTCTAGAAATTCCACACGGAGCTAATTAGGGGCTTCAATGGTGCGGCCTCAAATGATTCAGAGGGATAAAAGGTTTTTATGCCCATTTCTCCTTTTTCTGCTTGAGTCTAAAGATTTAAAAAAAAATGATTATGTTTGCTTGGATCGGGCAGACTGCCGCTTAGGGCATTTCCCCATCTTCCTTAGTTTTTAAGCAAAGGGGTTCTGTTTTGTGACTTTTCATCCTGTGATTGATAAGATAACTTCCCTCGGTTTCAAGAGCCACTCACACTGGCCTTTGTTCTCAGAACCCAATTTGGACGACACAATTTCTGGTCCCCCATGAAAACGATGGGATGTGCAAAAGAAGTGTTCAAATGGCCAGTGAGAAGGGTCAGTGCAGCAACCACCACTCTGCACACAGTGGTTAAAAAGAGCAATGGAGTGACAGAAAGAGAAATCAAGGAATCAATCCCATTTACAGTTGCACAAAAAACCATAAAATACCTAGGAATAAATCTAACCAAAGAGGTGAAAAATCTATACACTGAAAACTATAGAAAACTTATGAAAGAAATTGAAGAAGACACAAAAAAAAATGGAAAAAAGATTCCATGCTCCTGGATAGAAAGAATAAATATTGTTAAAATGTCAATACTACCCAAAGCAATCTTTATATTCAATGTAGTCCCTATCAAAATAACACCAGCAATTTTCACAGAGCTAGAACAAATAATCCTAAAATTTGTATGGAACCAGAAAAGACCCCGAATAGCCAAAGCGATCTTGAAAAAGAAAACCAAAGCAGGAGGCATCACAATCCCAGACTTCAAGCTATACTACAAAGCTGTAATCATTAAGACAGTATGGTACTGGCACAAGAACAGACACTCAGATCAATGGAACAGAATAGAGAACCCAGAAATGGACCCACAAACGTATGGCCAACTAATCTTTGACAAAGCAGGAAAGAATATCCAGTGGAATAAAGACAGTCTCTTCAGCAAGTGGTGCTGGGAAGACTGGACAGCAACAACCAGAAAAATGAACCTCGACCACTTTCTTACACCACACACGAAAATAAACTCAAAATGGGTGAAAGACCTAAATAAGACAGGAAGGCATCAAATCCTAGAGGATAAAGCAGGCAAAAACCTCTTTGACCTCAGCTGCAGCAACTTCTTACTCAACACGTCTCTAGAGGCAAGGGAAACAAAAGCAAAAATGAACTACTATTATAAAAAGCTTCTGCACAGCGAAGGAAACAATCAGCAAAACTAAAAGGCAACCAACAGAATGGGAGAAGATATTTGCAAATGACATATCAGATAAAGGGTTAGTATCCAAAATCTACAAAGAACTTCTCAAACTCAATATCCAAAAAACAAATAATCCAGTGAAGAAATGGGCAAAAGACATGAATAGACACTTCTCCAAAGAAGACAGATGGCCAACCCACCCATGAAAAGATGCTCAACATCACTCATCATCAGGGAAATACAAATCAAAAACCACAATGAGATATCATCTTACACCTGTCAGAATGGCTAACAGTAACAACTCAGGCAACGACAGATGTTGGCGAGGATGCGGAGAAAGAGGATCTCTTTGGCATTGTTGGTGGGATTGCAAGCTGGTGCAGCCACTCTGGAAAACAGTATGGAGGTTCCTCAAAAAACTGAAAATAGAACTACCCTACAACCCAGCAATTGCATTACTAGGCATTTATCCAAGGGATAGAGGTGTGCTGTTTCGAAGGGACACATGCATCCCAATGTTTATAGCAGCACTATCAACAATAGCCAGAATATGGAAACAGCCCAAATGTCCATCGATGGATGAATGGATAAAGAAAACGTGGTATGCATGTGTATACATATATATGTACATACATATGTATATGTATATATATGAGTGTATATATGTATATATATGTATATGTATGTGTGTGTGTGTATATATATATATATATATATATATAATGGAGTATTACTCGGCAATCAAAAATATGAAATCTTGCCATTTGCAACTATGTGGAGGGAACTAAAGGGTATTATGCTAAGCGAAGTTAGAGAAAAACAAATATCACTTCATGCACATGAAGACTTTAAGACACAGAACAGATGAACATAAGGGAAGGGAAGAAAAATAATATAAAACCAGGGAGGGGGACAAACCATAGAGACTCTTAAATATGGAGAACAAACTGAGAGTTACTGGAGGGGTTGTGGGAGGGAGGATGGACTAAATGGGTAAGAGGCATTAAAGAATCTACTCCTGAAATCATTGTTGCATTATATGCTAACTAATTTGGATGCAAATAAAAAAAAAAAAAGAAAAGAAAAAGAAAGAAAGAAAGAAAGAGCAATCTGGACAGGGCGGGCCGAGAGGGAATCTGCCAGGGGGACCCTCACGACAGGGGCCATGCTGCCCGTGGTGCGGGGGGGGGGGGCTCTCTGTGGGCTTGGTTTCCACTGCACCCATCCTAGCAGAAAGGCCTTTCTCTGCATAAGACACATCAAAAAGCATTTTTAAAAAGCAGACATCAGGCCTCACTGGGCTCAAAGGCTCTGAGCAAATGGCAGGTAGGATTCCCACCAGTTCTGTCAGGGCCGCCTTGTGGTGGGGACCACTCTGGTTCTGCTTTCAATGGGCTTCTTGGAAGAGAAATTTCTCTTGGCTTAAGATTTATTTGGCCTGAGATGTAAAGTTTCAAGTGTGCACATGCTTTGTCTTATCCAGAACTGAATGAATGAATGAATGAATGAATGAATGAGGGAGGGAGGGAATGAATGAATGAAAACAAATCAACAGATGTTGTTAGGCATTGAGTTAGGCACCTCTTTGGAAAGCAACCTAAATGAGTTTTCTTTGGTAAAGGCAGGCTAAAAACTCATCTCAGACAGAAACAACTTCCCCCCTCAGACAGTCCCTCTTTCCTCCACAGAAGGGTACACATGCCCCTCTCAGACAGGTGGACCCTCTCCCCTTAGATAGGCCCTCCCCTTCAGACAGGCCCTCCTCCCCCCTCAGACACAAGCATCCTTCCACCCAAACAGGCCCCTTCCCCCCTCAGATAGGTTCTCCTCCCTCAAACGGGCCCTCCTCCTTCTCACTGAGCCTCAACACTCTGACCTGGGCCTCCTCCCTCAGACCAGGCCCTCTCCCCTTTAAGGGAGCCTCCCCACTCAGACCATCCCCTCACCCCTCAAGCCTGATCGAGGCTTGATTGAGCCTCCCCATTCTGGCCAGCCTCCCTGCTCAGACCATGCCCTCCTCCCTCGGAGCAAGCCCTCTCCCATCAGACCAGGCCCTCCTCGCTCTGACCGAGCTTCCCCCCTCTGGCTGGCCCACAGGCAGGTGGACTCACTCTGGGTCAGGCCCAGGGGGGCACTGTGGGTACTGCCGATGCGGTTGCAACAGTCCAGGAAGGCCTTCACGCACGAGGCCTCGTGCTGGACCAACCCGGCCTTGCGCTCGCACGAGAACTTCCTGGGGTTCTCCCGCATACCATGTTCACAGCACTTGCGCAGCTGCTTTGGGTACTGACCCGCTGTGTGGACACGACACCAGTCAGGGCCTCAGCCGGGACCTCAAAGCAGGAGGAGCTCAGGGCGGACCAAGGGTAGGACGTCCCCAGGGCCCGGCCCTGCCCTCCTCCCTCCTGGGCTGGATCCCGGGTGGGCAGGGTTTGGAGGAAGGGTGGGGGCCCCCACCTTTGTCCATCCTCTTCTCCATGAGCATCACCGAGCGGCGGCGCCAGGCATCTGGTTTGGGGCACTCGGGATCTGAGGGGAGGGCACACGCGAACAAGGTGGGTTAAGCGTCAACTGAGGGTCCCCGATGTACTCCTCTCAGTAGCCGTGAAGGAGGGGTGTTGTTGCTCCCATTTGACAGATGAGGAAACTGAGGCTCAGCGGGCAGTGATTCACTAGGTGGGGGCTGGGGCAGGACTTGAACCCAGGGCCCCCACCTGTTCTCAGCATCTGAGGACCTCAGAACAGTGCCCTCCATCTGCTCTCAGCATCGGGGGTGGAGGCCCCACCCCTCCCCGGCCCTCACCTGTCCTATCCGGGGTCTGCAGGTTTGTGTTGGTCTGGAAGGCCAGCCCTGCGTCCGTGAAGACGCCGGCATAGTCCTTCCCGCTGCCTGGAGTGCAGCCGATGTCAGCCTTCTCCACCGTGTTCCAGATCTGCGGGAGGGCAGGGGTCACCAGGCTGACATGTCCGACCGCCCCTGCGTTCTGGTCCCAGACCCCTCTCAGAGCTGTGTGCACAGCCCCCGCCAACCACCCCCAGCGCGGACTCCTCCATCTACGCTCCCACCCGCGGCCTTCACTTCCGCGCCACGTCTGTGTCCGTTCCAGCCTCCGTCCCGCCCACGCCTAACCCCACTTCCGGTTCCCTTCTGAGCGCCACCCGCGCCTCAGCCCCACGCCACCCCTTTGCTTCCGCCACACCCCAGCGGTACGGGGCGCACCTTGCTTTGAGTTAACTTATTCTTCTTGTTCAGCACGAACACGCCCTTGTCCACCACCACGAGCCCCACTCGGGCCCCGTGGTCCCCCTCGATCTTGAGGGTCATCTGCTGGCCAGGTAGGTGAACCCTCTCTTCCTTCCGGCCACCTTTCACCACCAGCTGTTGGGGGGGGGGGGGGTGTGCACAGAGGTAGGAGTGAGGGGTCAGCCCTGCCAGGCTGGGTCTCCATCAGCAGTCAGCCCAGGGCAGTGTCCGTGCTGTGCTGGTCAGGAAGGGGCAACAGTGGAGACAGACAGACTGAAGGCGGAAAGGCCAGCAGGGAGGGAGATACTGAGGCTGAAACAGAGGTGGGGA